AGAACACAGGAAGAATGACAACTTGTACTTTCAAAATCACAATCTCATAAGGACAACAGTTGATAACAAGCCCAAGCAAAACCAAACTACTGACTCACCCTCCTCTCTCCTAGCCTACTGGGAAAGATTGAGGATTTATGCACAATAGTAACACTGGCTTCAGTGGGGCCCTTTTTTGTCATTACAGGAATTGGTACTTTTTTATACTATGCATTTATTGAAGAAAGTTGTCTCCATTTTTTCCCCTGAGCCAGGTTGCTTTTATCAGCAGACCTGTGATAAAAAAGGAGCATATATTTCCTTGTGTGCCTGTATTAATATGAAGTGAAGAACTGCACATGTCACATACCCGTACCCTACAACAGTGCCCTGTCTGCAAATAAAATTATGTCTGAGATTATGACTTGCAAGTGCTTTCTAGCAAAAGTGAAATTTTAGGTTTTGAATTAAATGCCTTTGTTTCTACAAAAGACGTAAGAAAGGTATTCCACAGGAAAAACAAAAAACCCAGTGAGTCTCTTGCAAGATGGATCCCACCACTGGAAATGTCATGTTACTTTTGCTACGAGATCACTGCCTTATTTGGTGTTTACTAAAGCTTGATCTTCAATATCCTCTCTTTTTATCCTTTCCCTGCAGTGTGTAGGCTTCTCCATCACTTTACTCTGTGCTGCTCAATTTAGTGTAGAACACTGAATTTATTAATTTTCAGGGGGATTCCCTCATGTTCTCAAGGACAGTATTTTTTAGCTCTTTACAAACACTGATTAAAATCTTCAAAGATGTGTCAAAAAAAAGGAAGGCATTATTATCACCGTTCTTCTTACAAAGGATGAATGAAAACACCTAGATTAGAGTCAATGAAAGCTTCCTGCACTTCAGGTGTGCACAGACTGATTTTTCAGTGTTTACAGCACTATACATCATTCTGGAAGTGTGAGACACAACCTGTTGTGACCGAGATTGCAACTGTGAGAGCCTTCTGACTTCTGCAAACTACCCTTTCCCAGGTATTGTATTTGCCACTGTGAAAAACTATAACCTTTTACTCCGTTTAATACTGTTAGTAGCAGCCTTTTTCTGGGACAATACCAGTCTGGAATAATGCCAATTCAAATTACGTGGCTTGCCCACACTTTGTAAGGTGTCATTCAACCAATTTCACTGTAAGAGCATTGTTTCTGGCACTCCAGATCCATTTCAGTTCAGATTCTGCAATAATGGTGCTGCAAGAAAAGCAGCTGAGCCTTAGCTGACAGCAGCCTCCTCAATTGTACAGCAATAACAAATTCCCACAGCACACACAGGCTATTGTTTGCCCCAAGTAAGGCAGGGAGTCCTGAGGGGAAACCACAGGAGTTTGTAATCAAGTCATTAAAACAGTTTATGATCATATTCAGGAGGATGGAATACGGTTTCACAAGCAATTTGAATTTACTTTTTCAATCTTGATTTTACAAATGTAGGGCTCTTCTAACAATTTGAAAACATTGCCATACACTACTGTGAACAAGTCAGCAAGGGGAGAGGAGAGGTGCCCCTGAGTGAAAGCCCTGCCTGGGTCTCCAGCAGTGGTAGGTGCTTTATTCCAGCAGCTGAGCTCACGCTCTAGGTGATGGCAATACTGTCGTCTCCTGGGCGCTAGAGGGAGATGGACACACATGCCACATTGATGGATTTCACAGCTGGAGAAACAGTGTGTCTGTTTTCAATCACAGGAGCTGAATAAAGTGCTGACAAACCTTTCTTCGTTGCTTCTCTCTCCCTGTCTCTCCCCCTTTCTCTCTTTTCTTTCTCTCTCTCTTTTTTTTTTTTTCCTGGAGTAGGGATTTTTTTGTTTTCATCTCTTGCCTTCTGTTCATTTCTGTCTCTGCTTCTTCATTGTAATGCATCGTTTCAATTGACTTCTAAAAGTTGTCTGGTGCTGTGCCTTTCCACTTTCCAGGGAGAGCTCCTGTTTCTGCTCCTAATCTCTGCTCCCTCACCTCTTCTGTTCCTGCCAGTTTCTTGTACCTGCACAGCCTCCAACCTCATGTGATGCTTAAATACAGTAAATACAGGTTCTTACTCTGTCCTCAGGAAGACAAGTGGTATCTCACCTCCATTGAACGGGATACCAAGATAAGATCTGTTGATCTTCTGAAGAATCTTGTATTCAAGCACAGGGAGGTGAGATCCATGAGTATCAGATCTTGTGAGAGTTCCATTTGAAGCCTAGTATTTGCTCTCACAGTAGAAGGTGAAGTCATCTTGAAAATCCAAGATGCTGACCACAATCTTCCCTGGGACTCTTTTCAGACATGGTTACATAGACTCACACCAGGCTAAAAAATCATCATCAAGTACAGCATTGTCTTCAAAGTGAGCCAAGCCATGGAACTTGTTGGCATCGTGCCCTCCAATTCAAGGAGAGCAGAGTTGAAGCTGTTGTATATGTAGATAAAGTCAAAGACCTTAAACAGATTTTTTATAATAAAGCTGTGAGCAGAGACTGTCTGCTGTCCTTTCATTAGCCTCAAATTCAGACTACAGAACCATGAACCATGTCCTGGGTTCAGGTTGTAGGTGAGTCATTAAGCAGGCCTTTGACTTATGAAGGTAAGCTGTATTCTACATAGAAATGAGCTGTATTACTAATATTAATAAGCTGGTTCAGGCCTCTCTTCCCCCCCCCCCCCTTTTTTTTTAATTTGGCCTTTTTGCTCCTTTCTCTAAGCTCCGTGACTGTTTTTCATTATGCATATTTTCTGTACATTTTACCTCTTTATAAAATTCCTCACTCTTCCCACTGAGCTGAGGATATTCCTTCCCCTCTCTACCCTCTTCAAACCAGCAATGGGAGCACTGAGATGAGAGCACAGCCATTCTTCCCTTTTCCATTGCAGAAGCTGCTGCATGTGCAAAGCCAGCTGAGCCCTGCTCCTTCCACCCCAGCCTGTGCTGCACTGTCTGGGTGCTCGTGGAGCATCTGTAGTAGAGGTAGAAGCTTATAGGCCTTGGGAGGTGTTTGAACTCATATGTCTGCTACCAAATGATATTGTAGATACCAAATGTACAAATGCCAGTTTTAGATGTGTTCTGCTTGCTTAAATCTTAAGAAGAACAGACAAAAAGCAAATGTCTGGAACCAATGTTTTCCATGGTTTGCCTTGTTTGGGGTTTTCTTCTTCATTTTTTGCAATTTATTTGCAATTTACTCCTTGATTAACAAAGTGGGAGAAAAATGTGCATTCTTTTGTCAAAAATGATAGGTACTAAACTCTTATTATTATTTAAACTTCTGTTTTCCTTAGTTATTTGACTTGTAGAAGTCCTTACAACATCCATCTCTGTTGATGTGCATTTTTACATATATACATAGGGAAAAAAAAAGTTCTTAAAGGAAAGTTCTCTTTCCTTTGACTTTAGCTTGACATTCTAAGGAATTCTAAGCTATCATGCTCTTTGTTGTGCTGTCTGTCTACCTGTCTCTCAGCCCCTATTTGGTGAATTTGAGCCCTCTTGCCAAGCAAAACTAGGCTGGATCCACTAATGAAAAAACTCAGAAATTATTCCCTTAAGTTTCATGCAAACCATTGCAAAAGGAGTGGGACAGAAAATTGATACAAATAGCTTCCCCTGCTGCAGCTAAAGTATAAGCTCAATGTTTTTTTCATCCTGACAGATGGGCAGTCAGCACACACATCATTTGGCACCCACCCCAACACGTGCTGCCTCTTCTCCAGCCAGATGGGTAGGAGACAGAGACTTTTTGGGGCATGCCATAGTGCATTTGGAGGTGGAAACATGGAACTCTTGCAGTGAGAGATGTAGGAACAGATTGTACACATCTGTAGGAAACCATATTTTAGCATTTCCACTGTCCGAGGAATATCTGACATCTATTTGGTGTCACACTATGACATGAAATAACTCACGCATTCACTCAAGATGCAAAAGAAGGAAAAGAGGAAGTTTTATTTCTGACCTCGCAATATATAGAATTCCAAAAGTGGCATTGGATTGGAGGGTGAAATCGCCGCCTCTCCAACCACACTGGTCAAACCAACAGTCCATCAATTCTCTCCTCCCACAAAGAAGAATGCAAAAAAATCATTATTTACATGACAGTGTGTGAGAAACTCTAATAGAAATATGTAAATTCAGAAGGCATAGAAAACTTTAAAAATAACTTTAAAACTTTTAAAATAACAGGGTGACAATTTGGAAGGAAATTATGGTAATTATAGAAGGGTGCAGGCAGGGCTAAAGGGAAAATGTCTTAAATGTGTAGGAAATTGGGCTACATTAGTTCTGTTGCTTATGGCATGACACTATAACTTTCAACTTTTGTTATTCCCATTCTGGAAACAATCCTGAACAACAGCTTTTGTCCAGTCAACACATTTTTGGTTCATGTTGTTTAGTTCCTTAGTTAGGGAAGGACTTTATAAATAATGGGAGAGGGATTTAATGCCCACAGTTTGCTGCAAGACTTTGAAAAGAACCTATAAGGAAGCAGTTAATAAGGAGAAGCTCTATTGTGCAATTACAGCCAAGGACTAGAGGTCTCAGTGGAACAGAAAAAGGATTAGACTCAGGGACTGACAAGGAAAAGGCAGGATTTATACTGATTTTATCATTGACCAGCCTTTTATGTATCTATCTTAAACTGAATAAAATTTACCATTGCCCCTGTTCCTTAAAGCCAAAAGCATAAACAGCTGGAAAAATGCTCACTAGAAATAATACAGTTGAACCTAGCACAACTGGAAAGTATGCTGATGCTCCTAGACAATCTTTAAATACTTAGACTAAGGGGTTTTTAAAGCACACAGTATCATGAAATGCTTCATTTTCTCTGCTTTTAATTCTAAAATGTTACAAAATTACTTCATCTTTGAAGCATATATGGCTTACAAATATGCATCAATGATTTGCTTGGAATGTGTTTATATAGCTCATAATATTCTCTCATCTCTTCAAAATGAAATATTTTATTGCTTAGATGTCATTTGTTTTCAAAGCCAGTCTGGCTTGGTAGATATGGTTTCTAGAAGTAGTACATTTAGGGTGGCCTCTTCTAGGAAGGGCCTGAAGAAGAGCTCTTCAATAGCATCTGCATCAATGTCTTGAAGAGATGAGATCAGCTGAAGAATTGAAGCAAACCTGCTGAGGCTTCCATGGAACATTATTGAGATAAACTCCATCAGGGCTTTCTGAGCTTCCTGCTGAAGTGATTGTACATAAGGGAGACATTTCAGGACATGGCATTCTGTCAAAACAAAAAGTAAAATAACAAATCTTGAGTAAACATTTCTGTTCTGTGCCTTTTGTAATGATGGGTATCTGGATTTCTGGCTTATAACACTAGTTTCTCTATAGAAAAAAAAAATAAACACTTCCTAAACATACTTTTTGGAAAAAGAAGGTATGTGTAGCTCAATAATTGGAATGAGCATTGGGCAGCATTGTAATCACACTGAAATCTAGTCCATTACATTAAAATCCAGCCTTGAAATGGAAACAGCAGGTAATTTTGATTCAGTACAGATGGAAAAGAAGTTTTGTAGTGTTGTTTACCCACCAAATGATGCTGAGATAGTAGTCTGGGCAGGTGGAAATATTCCAGCTCTAATCTACCCTACCTAGATAACACCAGGAGATGGAGATGATGGTTTGGAGCAGCAAGCAGGCTTGCAGCCTGAAGATGTAGGTTTCCAGTATACCCAGCACCATCTCCACCCTACTTTTGCTTCTGCTTACTAGATGAAGCTGGGGCACTGTGGTTCACCATACTGTCTAGGTATTTTCATTTACAGTCTAAAAAGAGCAAGAGGAGTGCCTCAGCAAGAGGAGTGTCTGAAGAAGGAGAGGCCTTTGCCCTGTGGAGTTGTGGTCCTGAGCCTCAGTCACATACCTCTCACAGCATGTGACCTGCTGGCTCACTGAGGGTGTTTGTGGGTGCCAGAAGTCAGTGCTAAGGACACCCTGTGTTCATCCTTTGCCTCTGGAGGGATTGGCTTGTCATGTAGCTCTGAGCAACCTGTTGCTCCTGTCCTCACTCTCTAAGGATATCTTTTATCTCCTAGAATTGTTGCAGTCTGGACAGAGGGTACAACACACTATTTGGCAACTTTTACAGTGACTGACCCCATACCTCCCTGGAACAGAATCTGCATAGCTCATACCAGGTGTGTTTCACACAGGATCATTCATTTCCATGTGGGAAGTTCAGCATTCTTGACTAGTGCCCTGTACCAAGGCAAAACCAACCTGGTTTGGTTTCCTTCAGTCTGTCACTGGCTGACTGTTGTCAGCCTTCAGCAACTCTCTTCTTCCTAGACATCACTGCCAGAGGAGAAGCCTCAGCCAAACCTGCAACCAGGCTAGCCAGAAATTAAGTGTTTGCAAAAGTCATCTCCCCCAGGATTATCATCAGCTGCAAGCTGTGAGGATGATTCCAAAGTTAGATTTTTCATGGAAAGGAAATTTTCAGGATTTTGTGGATTCAGGATGAAGTTGCAATAGTTTCTATCTATTCAAATATACATAATTTCCCCATTTGGTCTTCTTTTCTATGTAACCAAACACTGGTTTTAATTTACATATTATGAGACACTTCTTGTTCTGAGATATGTTGCAATAATATTCAGTCAAACACATGTTTCCAGCTGAACTGTAAACCTCTTAAGAGTATCTTTTTTTTTTTTTTTTTTTAAAAAA